GGAGGAGGAGGAGGAGGAGGAGGAGGAGGAAGCGGAGGAAGAGGAGGAGGAGGAGGAGGTGGAGGAGGAGGAGGACCTCTCCATCCTCCCCTCTCCCCCGTCCTACCTACAAGCCTCGTCAAAAATATCCAGAAATTGAAGTTGAAATCCTGGAGCACGAAGCTTTCGGGCACTTGTCAGAAAGCGCGTTCTTCAATGCCGAGAGGGTGGGGTCGGTTTTTGGACAACACCGCGTCCGAGTCGACAGGGATCCGTCAGCATTGGAGTAGCGCTGACCCCACATCCACCGAATTCAGGAGTCTTCTGTTTATTTTTGACGAGGCTTGCAGGGTTGTGGTGGTGGTGGTGACTTGGCCCAGCAGCCTGGGGGTGGGCAGGGGCCGACCCACACGGGCCCCCAGCGGCGCGCCGAGAGGGGCGGGGGGCGCCACGGGGACGGGGCCCTTGTGTACGAAGGCGGCGTGCCTCTCGGCAGGGCGCGGGGCCTACCGAAAGACGTTTTAGCAGCCTCCACAGGTCTCCCGAGGAGGAAGGGGCCCAGGGGCACACACGTAAACATTCCATAACTCCCCCAGTTTTTTTTTTTTGTTTTCCCAACCATCCTGTGGTGTTGGGTCCTCGTTTTGAAGAGACAGCGCCCCGCGTTTGTCCTCCTCCTCCCGCTGCCCCTCCTCCCTCTCTCCTCCCGTCGCCCCCTCACTTTGGCATACCCTTCACACGTTTCCTGGCCCCATACGGAGCTCCACCGCATGCGGTTCCCTGGCCATTCCGGCACACCACTCACACGTTTCGTGGAGCTCCACCGAATGCCCCAGTGGCAGGGTCCGCATGCGGTGCCCCGCCCATTTCGGCACACCCCTGACACGTTTCGTGGAGCTCCACCGAAGCAGGGTCCGCATGCGGTTCCCCGTCCATTTCGGCACACCCCTCACACGTTTCGTGTCCACATAGGGAGCTCCACCGAAGGCCCCAGTAACATGGTCCGCATGCGGTGTCCCGCCCATTTCTGCACACCCCTCACACGTTTCGTGGCCCCATAGGGAGCTCCACTGAAACCCTCAGTGGCAGGGTCCGCATGCGGTTCCCCGCCCATTTCTGCACACCCCTCACGCGTTTCGTGGCCCCATACGGAGTTCCGCCGAAGGCCCCAGAGGCAGGGTTCGCACGCGCTTCCCCGTCCATTTCGGCACACTCCTCACACCATTCGTGGCCACATAGGGAGGCCCGTCGAACGATGGACCCAAAACGCAATATCCACAACGGCTTATGGTTGGGTCCTTAGTCATCCTCATCCTCATCATCATCATCATCATCATCATCATCATCATCATCATCATCATCATCATCATCATCATCATCATTATCATCCTATATATATATGAATATATGTTTAGAGATATTATAGTATAGTTCTCATGATAGTGCTGATTACTAATATAGTTGTTTGCCGTATCCGTAGTATTATCGTTATCACTATTTCCATTACTTGTTCTAGTATTGTTTTTATTTTCATCTTATTGTTATCCTTGTACTAGTTTTTCGTTATTGTTCTTAAGGTTGTAGTTACTATTTTTGTTTTTGTTGTTGCAGCTGTTCTTGTCGTTGTCGTTGCATTTGTTGTTGTTGTGGTGGTTATTGCTGTTGTTGTTGTGGTTGTTGTTGTTGTTGTTCTTAATGTTGTTGTTGTTGTTGTTGTGGTTGTGGTTGTTGTTGTTGTTGTTGTTGTCGTTGTTGTTGTTGTTGCTGCTGCTGTTTGTGTTGCTGTTTGTCTTGTTGTTTATGTTGTTGTGGTTGTTGTGGCTGTTGTTAGTGTTTTTGTTTTTTTTGTTGCTGTTGTTGTTGTTGTTGTTGTTGTTGTTGTTGTTGTTGTTGTTGTTGTTGTTGAATTCTCATCTCTGAAGAATAATCATTGTTGATCCCCCCACCAGTGCATACTGTTTTTTTCGACGCTTGCACTCGACGCTCGCACCCGTTTTTTGACAGGGAAAGTCTCGATGCTCAAACTGGGCCCCTGGCCCCCGGGTTACAACAACAACGGCTCCCGCTTTAGACTTTCTTACAATTTAGCCAGGACCCCCGCTCCCGCCCGAGATTTCTTCGCATTGCGCTCTCGCTTGGGACTTCCTTACAATCTATTCAGGAATCGCTCTTTCGGCGCTCTGGAGTCGCGCTCCCGCTGGAGACTTGCTTGCAATTTGCTGAAGAATAGCTTTGCGTTGGAATTTCCTACAATTTGCCCAAGCGCCGCGCTCCCGACACCCAGGCACCCAGGAGTCGCGCCCGTTGTGGCCCCATGGGCATGCCCCTGGTGGCCCCGCTGTCGCCATTTGTGTCCCCCTCACTGTCCTACGTGGCCCAGTTGCTACCCTCAGTGGCCCCATAGTTGCCTTCTGTGGCCCCGCATTATCTGCACTTCGTGGCCCCCGCTCGTTCGCGCTCTTCGTAGCCCCATACGCGTTCCCTTCGTGTCCCCGCTGTCGCCCTTCGTGGCCTACTTCGTGCCCTTCGTGGCCTTGCTGTCGTTCTCTCTCGCTCTCGCTTTCGCTCGTCGTCGCGTCGTCGTCGTCGTCGCCGTCGTCTTCGACGTCGTCGTCGTCGTCGTCGTCGTCGTCGTGGTCGGTCCCCTGTCCGTCCCTCTTGGGGTCGGGTCGACGGTCCGCGGCCGCCCCGCCGATCAGCGCTGCCGCTGGCCAGGCCGACGGTCCGCGGCCGCCGCCGCTTGCCGGGGCCCGGTCTGCAGGGAAGAAAGGTATACCCCCCAAAAGGGGTTCGATCGAAGACGAAGAGGGCGGGTATCGAGGGTTTGGGAAATACACGTTATTGGACACTCGATCATATAAGGGCGAACAGTCTTAAAAGTATTATTGTTGTTGTTGTTGTTGCTGTTGTTGTCGTTGTCGTTGTCGTTGTCGTCGTTGTTGTTGTTGTTGTTGTTGTTGTTGTTGTTGTTGTTGTTTTTTTGTGTTGTTGATGTTGTCGTTGTCGTTGTCGTTGTCGTTGTTGTTGTTGTTGTTGTTGTTGTTGACGTTATTGTCTTATTAATATTGTTATTATTGTTATTGTTATCATTCTTATTCCTAGTATGGTTAGTATCATTTTTAGGATGATGATTATTATTATTCTTATTCTTGTTATCAAAATTGTCGTTGTTATGATTATTATTTTGTTTCGTTATTCTGATCATTATAAGTATCATGTTAGGTATTAATGGCACAATTCGCTCTAACGGCACCCCCGTTTAGGCCTTTCCGTAAGCGCAGACGACCCCTGCCTCGCCGCCGACGCAAAGCAGTTTCCGGGACGTTCGTCTCCCCCTCCGCTTCCCCTATTCTCCATCTCTTCTCGGGGAGCGACGGCTATGTGTGCCTGGGCGTGTTTTTTCCCCCTCCTCGGAGAAGCCCCCTGGATCTTCTTGCCGAGGCCCCCCGTCCCCCTGGCCGGCCGCACCCCACTCCTGCGCGCCGCCACGACCCTCCAGGGACAGAGGAACTAGCCCAGATCGGTTTTGCTCATTGGCGCCCTTCTCTTCTCTCGATGCGTGGCCCCCTCCCTCCTTCTGCTCCCCCTCCTCCTGGACCTCTCCTGGGGTCCAGCATCTCAGGGCGAGTCCAGCAGTGACGACGAGGAACCTCTCGAAGTGGCACCCGAAGGACCAGGACAGCCTAAAAGCCTCGATTCTCAATCTCAGTTTCTCCTCCTCCTCCTCCTCCCACTCCTCCTCCTCCTCTCCCTCCTCCTCCTCCTCGTTCTCCTCCTCCTCCTCCTCCTCCTCCTCCTCCTCCTCCTCCTCCTCCTCCTCCTCCCCGCCCTCCTCTTCTCCTTCCCCTCCTGGACCTCCAGGGAACCCCTTCCCCAAGGCCGGTCTCACAGCCCGAGACGCTCCGGCAGTCTCTGGGGCCAAGGAACAGCCTCGGGACGCCCAGGAGCAGCGGCCACCTGGCCGCGCCCCGAGGTCTTGGGAGGCGCCGGATGTCTGGGGGGGGTGCTCCACCAGGTCCGTTCCCGGGCCCCTCCGGCCCCTCGGGGACGTGCTCCGCCGACCGCGGCCGCGGACTCGTATCACGCCTTCGTCCGGGAGGTGCTGCGGCCGAGCCTGCAGGAGGGGGTCGTGATCTTCTCGGAGGCCGGAAGCGCACGCGATCGCCGGGCCACAGCCCCGTCAGAGCTCGAAGAAGTTTCGATACGCTGTGTTTCGATCGATTTTCTGGACTTGTCTACGGCAGGTTCGCGTCGTGTCGACCAGCGGCGACCCCGCCGCCAGCGTTCAACGTTGAGCGCCGCCGGCGACCCAGAGTCGGTCGATGTTGAACGATTTGACGTTTCGGAAACGGCCGATCGTTCAAGGTTGAACGATCCCCGCAGTGTCAGGAGCCAATGCTGGGGTCGGCACGACGCGAACCTCCCGTACGTGGTTCGAGGAGTTTCGATCCCTTGTTTCCCCATTTCCGGCCTTTGAAGGCCCGGCTCGGGCCCACGGACTGTCGGAAATCAATCCAGGATGTAACGCTATCCAGGATGGATCCCCAAGAGGGGGTGTGGGGACCGATCCTGAGCAGATTCGGGCTACGGCAGGTTCGCGGGACGTTGACGCAGCGGCGACCCCAACGGCGGGCGTTTTTGGAGTGAACGCCGCCACTGGCCTGGAATGGGCCACCAGCGAAGGATGTGCGCCGTCGAGGAGCGGCGACCGTCCAGGGTGGAACGACCCGCGCATCGCCAGAAGTCGAGTGGGGGATCGACTACAGAATTGACTGACCCCAAAGTTGGTTTTCACGTCGAGTCTTCAACAGTAGTAGATCGACTGTTCGTAGATCTGCGGCAGTTCTACGAATTTCCCGTGGATTCGACGGGAAGAATAAATCTTGGGGCACATCAATTCTGTAGTGGATCCCCTACTGCTCGAATCGAGGAGCCGCGACCGCCCAGGGTCGAACCCACCCGCGTAGCGCCAGCAGCCACAGAGCGGACGCGAGCCCGCGACGCGAGCCCGCCTGCTGGTGATGGCCGCGGTCACGGCTGACCCTCCTCCTCCTCTTCCTCCTCCTCCGCCTCTTCGTCCTCCTGCTCCCTCCTCCTCCTCCTCCTCCTCCTCCTCCTCCTCCTCCTCCTCCTCCTCCTCCTCCTCCTCCTCCTCCCTCCTCCTCCTCCTCCCCCTCCTCCTCCGCTTCCTCCTCCTCCTCCTCCTCCTCCTCCTCCTCGTGCTCGATGTCCTTCTCCTGGCCGCGGGGCTGTCGCCAGTCTTGGCCAGGCTCGGGGCCCCTGGGGGGGCCTCGGAAGCTCTCGCGCTACGCGCCTGCGCCCCTGCGAGCTCGCCTGCTGACGTCATCAACGGGCTGTGAGGTCGTCGTTGTCGGCGACGGTCGTCGATGACGTCATCGGGGTCGTCGTCGTCGTCGTCGTCGGCGTCGGGGTCCTCGAGGTCGTCGTCGTCGTCGTGGTGGTTGTGGTGGTCGTGGTGGTGCTCGTCGTCTTAGTCGTCGCCGTCGCCACCGTCGTCGTCGTCGTCGCCGTCGCCGGCGCGCGCCCACGTGAGCACAGGGCTTCGAGTGTTCGCGATCGCCCGACGTCGGCCTTCGCGTGCTTCTCCGCTCTCCCAGCTTCGAGCGAACCCCAAATCTGCGCGTCCACCTCGCTGGCGCGAAGTCCCTCACTGCGCCGCATACGGACTTGGACCACAAGCACTCCCCGTACGAGATCAACTTCTGGATTCCGCTCACGCTGGCCGAGGGCAGCGCGACACTGTGGGCCGAAACTGAGCCCGGACGTGGAGACTACCATCCGTTCTGTGCCGGCTACGGCCAGGCTGTGCGGTTCTATGGCAACCAGTGCCTCCACTTTACCAGGGACAACGACACGTCCACCTCGCGAGTGTCCTTCGACTTTCGGGTGGTGCGCCTAGGTGACTTCGCACAATCGGGCATCCCAGACGTCGGCGACGAGAGCGACGCCTTCTGGCGGCTCTTCTCCTTCTACGACGTCATGGGCCCCGACGGGCTCGTGGGCCCCGCGGCCTGGGCGGAGGTCGCTGCAGAGGCGAGAAGGGCGAGGACCTGCCTGGGGGTCGCCGGACCCTTGGCCTGCGCGACGTCGCGCGAGGGCGCCGCCGACCGCTGCCCGCCTGGCGTGCCTCATGCGGCTGCCGCCGCCGCGCCCGCCCGGTCGCGCTCCCCGGAGCACGAGCGCCGCTGCCTGGCGGCGTGGGGCTCGGAGCGCCTCGCGAAGCAGAACTGCGCCCGCTGCGGCTGGATCGCGCACCGCGCCAAGCTGCGCCGGGCGCTGGTCTACGACGACGGGGGCGGGAGCTCCGGGCCCCCCGAACGGGGCCGGAGCAGGCGGGGTCGGAGGATCGTCTCCGCCTAGCCGATGCATCGGCGATGTGGTGAGATCCGGCGCGCGACTTCTCCATGCCGGCGTCGCTGATGCATGGGCGAGGCGGTGTGCTCCTGCGACCCCACCTTCTCTCCGACCCCACCTTGGGAGGCCTGCAGGAAAGTGCTGCCGTGGGTGGCCGAGAACCCGGACAGGTCCAGGAGCCATTTCGACTCTGCGATTCGAATCGGTTTTGAGGATTCCAACTCTGGCTTTATGCCTCGGCTTGGGCTGGCGGACGTCGACTCCGATGGCTTCCGATCTGCTTGCCGATCTCTGCCGACTCGATGTGCTTCGATGGCCGATCCGATTCCCTGATTCGATCTTGGGCCATCCAGCAGGTCTGCGCCCTGGGGCCTCGGCTGCGTGGTCTGCCACGAGGCGTGGGAGCGAGGGCTGGACGTGGGCGGCTGCACGCCCGCGCCCGCGTGGGCGGGCTTCCGCTTCGGGGCCGGCGCTCAGCACCGTTGAACCTGCCCCCATCCCCACCAGGCCACGGCACCTCTCACCATCCCACCACCCCAGCGGGGGATAGGCTCTTCGGAACCCGAAGGGAACAGCCAATGTCCCCATCCCAGGGGGGCACCTCGGCCAGTGGGGCCCATGCCACGCCAGTGGGGAGACGGTCCACCCGCACAGTATAAGGATGGGCAACTTTCCCGAGGGTACCCTTTTTTATCCTTGCCCCTTCCGCCCATCCTCAGCGACTTTCCCTGGCCGACCTCGTTCGAACAACGTTACCGTTGGGCCTCCAGGGCCCTTGCATCCTTACCGCGCATGCTCATGATACAGGTTGACTGTACAGTCGGGCCGCTGAAGAAGGAACCCTTTTCGTTTGGGAGTGGCTCCGTGTTCCTTAGTTGTTTTACAGTGCTCCTTGGGTTTTTCTGAGGTTTCCCATGGAAGATCGGAGTTTAACTTATGGGAAAAAGGGGCCTCGTTCCTTATTTATCGTTCCTTAGGTCAACGCCCCGACTGTAAGGACCCGTTCAACGATGCTCAGGCGCTCCGGGCCTGGTCTTCCGGCTCCTGTTCCGGCACGGCAACCACGGGCGCCGGCAGCTCGGGGCCGAGCCCGGGGCGGGGGACCTCGAGGGCGGCGAAGGCATCCCTAAGCGCGCCCTCGCGGTCTGGACTCCGGGGCGCGACCCCGCGGATGCGCGGTCGCACGGATACGCCACGCGCGAGGCATCCGCGAAGAGATGCCCGCATCTGCGGGGTCGCGGCCCAGGTGCCCGGCCCACGAGGCCGCGGATAGGGAAGCCACGAGGACCCAGTCCTCTGCATGGACGCTGGCCACGAGGCGGCGCTGGCCGCCGTGTGCAGACAGCGCGCGGCTGACCGGGAAAAGCAGCCGCGGCTCCACTTTTGTATCCCCCCCATGCCCCGAAGCGTTGAGGAGAGAACTTGTGGCTACCAACCAGGGCACGGCGACCCGACGCCGACAAAGAGCTGGTGGTTTCGGAAGTCGGGGGGTGCCACACCAGTGGGCATTCGATGGAGGACAGGGGTTCAGGGTCGAAGGCCATTGTGAACATTACGGCTCTTAGAACTCCAGGAGCCCATAGCTTTAGGAAGTAGTTTTCTTGGCGGGGCGGGTGTCGAAAGCCATTGAGTCAGATGGCTTTCATTGCCAGAAAGGTTTTGGAACTGCTCCGGTCGGACTCCCGCAGCCATCCGTTCACCCGGTGCCCGCAGACTCTCCCACGACAAAAGGCGTGTGTCTCGTTTCCGTGGTTGCAGAACGCTCATTGTAGTTGTGTGAGGAGCCGTGTGCCGTAGTGCATGCGCGTGTGATGGAACAGAGGGCTTCTTGGCTTCTGTGTCATCCCTCTTTTCCCCCATCGGGGGCGTCGAAGAGGGGGGGGGACCGGGGGTGAGTGGATATCATTGCCAGGGCCCCGAGATCTCCCAGATCTCCTGGCCCCCTCACTCTACTTTCGATGCGCTCCCCTGGACCCCCCCCCGCGTCCGCGCACGTGCCTCGGTCCATGACGGGCCACCCTCCCCTCTTCCCCCAGGAGGGGAAAATAGACACAGACACAAGTAAACGTCGCTTCCCGCGAAAATATGGGCAAACATGGAACCACGGTGGGGACGACGAAAACTCCGAAGCCATTGGAAAATACGGGGAGCCTGGGACGTGTGCCTGTTTTCTTAGTCTGTCTTCCCGTGCCCCTCCCTTCCTGGCCCCCCCTCACTTCGGCGCGCCCGACCCGCTGCGGTGCGCGACTCTCCCCCCCCCTCTCCCTCGGCAGCCCGGCCCCGCCCCGCGTGGAGAGGCTGCCCCTCCTGCGGGGGGGGGACCTCGAGAGGCGCATGCCGGCCACACCCAGAGGGACCCCCTCCTCCTCCTTCTCCTCCTCCTCCTCCTCGCCCTCATCCCCCTCCTCCTCCTCCTCCTCCTCCTCCTCCTCCTCCTCCTCGTAGCCCCACCCCGCCCAGGAACGTCGGGATTGGCTATCGGTGGCCTGTCGCCGATTTATCGGCGATGCATCGCCGATTCCCCTATTCTGCCAGTTCCCCCCCTATCGTTGCCCCTCAGGGGCGGCTTGCTCAGCGTCGGACTTCTTTTGGGCATCCTCGAGGTCGACTTTTGGAGCCCCCCGGCCAGCCCAGAGCCAGCCTCTGGTGCCATCCCCGTTAAATGATACCATGTGTTCCACGTGCGCGTGCTGAGCGGGCACCACCTCTGTCGAGTCATGCGATGAGGGCCACACCAAGCTAGGTGGGGGGGGCTTTGACGATCCCTCGACAGGACAGCCTGCCGCCCCCCCAGTCGCATCTCAAAAGCTGGCATCGCGTCGTTGTGGTTTCGGTGCGTCGAGTGAAGCAGCAATGAGGGCCACCCGCGCTCGCTGAATCATACACGAGCCAGCAGATCCCCAACAATTTCGGGCCAAGCCCGAAAAACAACATCTGCATTCCATTCAGAAGCTTGCTCGACTTCCTTTTATTTTCCGCATTCCGCGTCAAGTCATATCACGGGGCGCACGCCTTTTGACATTCTAGTTGCAGGTTGCAGCAGCACTTACCAACGCCATTATCCAGATGCACATGAGTTCAGAAATTCATGACGCTTCGAGGAGTGTTCAGTTCGCGTCAGTCGCCTCCTAGTCGAGTGGCTTCGGGCTGCGCCTCCTCTTCACGGGGTTTGGTGTGCGACTTCACTGGCGCCACCACTCGCACCCGCATGACCGTGGCGGGCACCGTGGGCCTCCTGTTGCCCTGCCCTGGTCGCACCGTGGTGCTCTTGCGCGCCATTTTGGCTGCGCTTCAGCCTCTTTTGGCCAATTCACGCGCATGCGTCGCTTTCTGTTGGCTGTTGGTCCTCGGCTCAGGCCACCCTGGCAGCTTCTACAGTCACAGCGGTTGCTTACGCTTTGCATTCAAAATTGGCCTCCGGCAGACCCTGGCAGTCGGTCACCCTGGCAGTCAGCACTTGCAGCCGTTGCACGTTTGCATGGCCGGGCAGTGTTGCAGCCCCGCCTCCACTCCGGCGACTTCCTGGTCCCGCTCTGAGTGCCGGTGCTCGGCCTGCTTCTGTTTGGCTCATCAGAGTACCTCGCGCGGCCCGCCTGGACTTTGACACGCTGTTGTTGCGCTCTCGCTCGCGGCTGTTGACAAAAAAGTATCCCCACTAGCCGCCGCGTGTTCGGCCAGGACGCCTCGCCGACCGGGCGTCTTCTGGATGCAGGCTCTCACCCCCAGGGCTGGATCACGCCTTCCTCGACGGCCCGCTCGCCCATGTGGTAGTGGTCATGCGGCACTGTGCCTGACGACTGCGGTGGGGTGCTGGTCCTGCATTCGGCACATGCAGACCCAACGCCGAGGAGAGGTATGTCGGGAGTGACGCCGCTCAATGTGGGCGCCATCGAACCCACCGCCATTTTGGCCCGGTGCCGGCTTCGCCTGGTCCGTCTGAGCTGCGGTGAGCTTGCCCCGCCGCTTAGTTTGCATTTTTCCGCCGCTTGTTAGCTGCCCGCATTCGGTCCCGTTTAACGCTGTTATAATTTAGGTTTTTGCTACCCGACAATCCCCTGACGGCGCGGGGCTCTTCCGCTTGCGCTTGCGAACAAAACGTATGGAGGCTATTGTGAGCCATGTTCGGCTAGAGGCTGCCAGATGCTTTCCTGAGCCACGCTCAGCTATGTTGTCCGTCATGCGGCTGTCTTGAGGCCTTTGGAGGTCTGTCGGAAGCTATATTAAGTCATGCTCGACCTCCTGGGACCATCTTAGGGATAGGAGGAGGGGGGATCTGATGATGATGAGGGGGAGGAGGAGGATGAAGAGGAGGAGGAGGAGGAGGAACGAGAGAAAACGAGGAGGAGGTGTGATGAGAGGAGGAGGAATGCGGCACGAGGAAGATGAGAAATATGAGGGTGATGGAACGTGTGATGATGCTGCTGATGATGATGTTGATGATGCTGATGCTGATGCTGGTGATGATGATGCTGATGATGGTGCTGGTGCTGCTGATGATGATGCTGATATTGCTGCTGTTGATGATGATGATTATGCTTATGATGATGATGCTGCTGCTGATGATGATGATGATGCTGCTGATGCTGATGATGATGATGATGCTGATGATGATGATGATGATGATGATGATGATGATGATGATGATGCTGATGATGAGCTCTTGGGCGCTGTTGGGGCCCTATGGGGGCCCTCTTGGGCTCCTCTTGGGGCTCTCTTGTGCCGTTTTGGGACCATCTTGAGGCGTCAAGAGCTCTTCGGAAGCGAAAGGGCGAGAAGGCAAACAACATACATGTTCGACGGTTTTGGAACCATTTTGTTTTTTTTGGGGGGTCCTTGGAGTGCTCGGAGGGCACTTCTAACCGTCTTGGGGCCGTCTTGCGGCCTCATGTATGTTTCTCGGAGGCTCTCTAGAGCCATTTTGAGGTACCTTGAGCAATCTTGGAGGCCACTGTGGGCTTTCTGAGACCCTCTTGCAGCCATCTTGGGCCATCTTGGACGTTCTAACCCTTCGCCCCCCCCACCTCCCAGGCCCAGGGGACGGGGTACGGGGAGGGGTCAAGCTACCCGGCCGCCCGCAAACCGTCTAGCTTACTCCCACCCGCCCATTCAACACATATGTAACACCCGAGCCTGAGCATGTTCAGCGGTCGTCTTTGGATGGGCAGCTACTGGGAACCAAAACCGACCCCAGGTGCGCGACGCTTGGGCGAGGTGCGCCACGCGTGCCAGGGGCGCCACGCGCGCCAAGCACCCTGGGGCCCGAGCGTGCCAGGCACGCCTGGTGCGCCGGTTGCGCCACTTGCTTCGAGGGCGCCAGGTGTGCCGCATACTCC